ATCGAGCAAGTTAGCTGAATGTTCGTGCGTTTCCTCATTTTTATTCTGAGTGATTATTACTGACCTCGAATATGATCTATATTGTGATTTTTTCCGCAGAGGTGCCCAACTTCAACATCCCTCCGAGGAAAACTCCTCTGAAAAAGAAATCGGGGGCTCTCGCTGGATCGAGCGGCGACAAGGCCGATGGGTCGGCTAGCTCTGGTGGATCTCGACCAGAGCCGCCATAGCAATCGCCCTCGCGGCAGACTCCGCCGCCTCCTCCACCACCGCCCAAGGAGACACATCAGCGACCAGAGCAGCAGCCTCAACAGCCACAACAACAACAACAACAACGTCCACTACAACCTTAGCCGCCGAAGCAGCCAGGGCAAACTTCCCAGAACCCTCAGCAAAAATCCATATCTTCTTCAGCCGCCAAATCTTCGACCTCATCCAAGGTCGATGATCGTCAGAAGGTTTCCGACCGTCCACACAAATCTGACGACCGTCAAAAGACCACTGATCGTCAACACCAGGTCGACGATCGCTCGCAAAGAACTGACGACCGCCAAAGGATCGACAGCCGTCAGAAAACCGATCGTCGAGCTCCCAATCCCAAAGACTCCGCTTCTTCCAAAATCATGGAAAAATCTTCCGAACCCCACTCCTCATCCAAGACCCAAGCTTTAGAAAAGCCTCCTCTCGACCAACAATCCCTCAAGACCCAATCTGCTGGCTCGACCAAGGCACTGGTCGAGTCCAGCAGTAAAGTTGATACCGGGCGCGAGACAGTGCTAGGTAAACGGTCTCGCACCGATCAAGGTACGGTCGTCTGGAAGCGGGGGCGCGACAGTTATCTTTCTCTTGACCCCCTTGCCCCGAAGCTGACGTCCTTAATGTCGGCGTCCGCGAATGAGGTGGCCGAGCGCCTCGAGGGTGTTCTCCTCGAGGACGATCGCAAAAAGCTCGGCCCCAAACTGCCTGAATTTGGGGATCAATTCGTTCAGTGGATTGCCCAGGTATTGTTTTCCTCGCATTTTCCTGTCACCTGTTACACAAGCTTTGAACTGTGCCCTCTTCACTGATTACAGGGCTTGGTCCAATTCTTTCCCACAGTGCAAGAGGCTCGCGACAACTCCGGGAAGTCCCTGAAAAGCCTCGAGAGCACAATTAAGTTCTTGCAGGATAAGAACTCGACTCTCGTAAAGCATAATTCCCAGCTCCGCGAGACCCAAGTGGAGCAGAAGACTGAGTTCGACGTCAAGATTCAATCCCTTGATGAAGAGCTCAACAATAAAAGTAAGGCTCTCGCAGAAAGAGACGCTGCCCCCGCAGCTAAGGAGGCGGCAGTAGCGGAAAAGGAAGCTGCGTTGAAGGAGAGGGAGAAGGCACTCGAGCAGGTTCAAGATTTCGGGGTAGACTATTTTCAGTTTGCCCTTCAGAAGGCAGGCGAGCAAATCGCTGAGGATGATTTCGAGCAACTCGATCCTTTGGCTATCTGGGACGCCTTACCCAAGGTTCCTCCTAGCTTCCAGGGTGATCCATCCTTGTCGCTCGAACATGAGTGGTGGTCTGGGTTGCTCGAAAGAACCTTGGCTCGATCAGATATACTCAAGAAGACATATGCCTTGCCCGATGGTCTAACTCCCCCTGCTCCTATGTTGGCCGCCTTAGCTGAGTCTATCCGGCAGCGTCCTCTCGATGATGCCTGCGATTCCACCTCTAGTATTACTCTTCCTGATCCAAACACTAATTCGAGCAATGCCGACTCTGCCGCTACTCCGCCTCCATAGATTAGTTTGTGTTGTATTTTATTGTTTTCTTTTGATATCTGTGTATTTTGATGAACTTCGTGGTCTTTCCTTGAAATGGCAATGTTTTATTTGATCTCATTTCTACTTTCAATAACGCTTGTGATGACTCGATCAGATGCATTTATGTAGCTCTTCCATAAGGTAATTGAGATAAATCTTAAATATACGGTCAGCATGTCTTTCAGTTTTCAATGTGTATCTTCCCTTTGAGCGTATGCCCACCTTCAAAGGGGTGGTCGTTACATACGACCATCTATCCTCATGGCCTTAATCATGCTGGATTTTTCCTGTGAAGCGCATGCCCACCCTCAAAGGGGTGGTCGTTACATACGACCATCCAGCCTCATGGTCTTAATCAT